GATTACGGATAAAAGTTAATCTTCAAATTCTAGATATTAATGTATAACGAAGGTATATTTTTCTATATGATACACCAAAGACAAACAAACTTAATCGTTTATTGTCCACCGTTTGCGGTTAAAGATCTAATGAAGAATTAAGATTCAATAAGACCGTTACATACAATACAATATACTCTAATATTCAAAATACGAAATAAATGAAAATTTACAACCAGAAATCGACGTTAGAAATAAAAACCTGACTTACGGTGCACTCTGCACTAGAGAATATTAATGAAAAAAAAAGAAAACATAAGTTTCAGAGAACCCGAGCACCTGCGTTACGCCACAAAAACACTAAACACCCTTACCGCGGCCCAAAAAATAAACATTAAACACAGATCGAATCTTGTCAGTTTTTGTTTAGATCCAACTTCTTTTTCTTTATAACCTCTTGTTTTATTTGGAACCATTGAAGTGAAGAAAGTAGATAAATTAATGTGATTAGAGACTTGGTGTATTCAGTTTGAAAAACCTTGAAACTAGAAAATCATCGTAATAGGTTTGGAAATACAAAATGGAAGACATGATTTGAATAAAGTAAATCTAAAATATCAACTGCCCAAAAACGTAAATACTGGTGCCCTTAAAACCGAAGGTCTTCAGACAATTGGTACTCAAGTCAAATATAAGACTCAAGTAGGCGACACTCGAGCGGGATTACCGTGGAAGACGAACTGGGCCCGGCTTCCGTCTCAAGGGGCGACCACGTGTGTCGTCAATGGACCGCTCCGGATGCCCTGGCCCACAATGGGGACGCCTGTATGCTTAGACATTATACCAACACCTCCGGACCAAAACGTCGCAACAACACTCCTCATGTGGGCGGTTAAGACCTTAAGGAATGATGCAACCGTCGCGGATGTGTGATGTAGTTGTAATATGAGGAAGTTCGTTTGAGACTTGCTTTCAGTACTCTTTATAAGATGCTCCCCTTGAGCAAAATCGTCTGTACATTTGGAGGGTAACCATTCACTGGAATATGTTGACTTTATGAATGGAGGGGAATCCTATTGAAAATTACGTCTATTGAAACGTCAAAAATACCCTATTTAATGATAATACTGCCTTATTTCCATTCAGAAAACGTGGTCGTTTTCATTTTAAAGTCAACGTGGATTTAGATTGAATAAAATATTATGACGAAAACTATTTAAAAACATGCAGTAGTGGAGTCATAATCGATTCCAAGTCTATTTACCACAACGTCGCCGTTTAAATTGTTTACATTCGCGTAGGCATAATAACGTTCGAACATTATACAAGTTGTTTCATAACTGCCGGTGTCATTGGACACATATTTATGACAATGTGTGTATACAAGCGCAGTGACGATTAGAGGCGCGTGCGTTCATTCATTGATACTAGGTACATGTGATACGTTAGCCGTTGATGTCTTTTAAACGTGGGCTTGGGCCGCGCCTTTACGGCTACGAAAACTCACGGCCTATGAATAATTTTACTTTTAATTACGCGTCTACCTGATTTATGGGGTGTAGTAAAATTAAAAAGGTATAATATAAATATTTTGATTATACGTACGTGTCGGATAAATGCCTACGATTTATTGCTCAATAAAATGATTTTGGCAATTTAAATTACCTTTATAGGTTTTTTTTATATTATTACTTTATTTTTTATTAAAAGTTTGTTTAATGGAATTGCTTTAATGTTTATTGTATCGTATCGGAATAATCTTGAATCATTTACGAGAAGATTAATAAAAACACAATAAGTACTTAGAATTATGTTTTAAAATAAAGTTATAACTGACGACATTTACACTTCGACAAGTGAACTGGTGACTGTATACATTTTAGCCGTTCGCTAATAGCCTTAGCTGCCGGCTATCCACTAATTACGAGAGTAATAAATAACATGTGACCGTCGGCTATGGGGTACTTACTCGGATTAGTAATTTCTTGGCTACCTGTGTTCCCGGAATGGTCCGGCCAACATCCGGGCCGGTAGCCGGCGGCTAACAAATCGTTATTTATAATTTATTGATTACACACTCGCGTTTCGGACGTGTAATTATGAGAAGACATTAATGTTACATTTACGGATTCTGGAGGGATTTTAACGGATATTTTAAATTATAGCTAATGGAAGTTGCTCTTGATTAGGGTTTTTTGAGGTTGAGGGATTGTTTTTTCCCGTTCAATCTGTATTTTTTGAGGATTAGCGGAAATGTTATGTGTTGGTTTTCAAAGAAATAGAAGGTCATGAAAAGTTTTGCATGTAGTACCTATCCTATCCTATCCTACATGGCATCAATTATCAAAACAAAAATACATAACCGTTTAATAATATACAATGAAATAACCGAAGATATAAACGTCATTAAATTTAAATAAGTCGATGAATAATTCAAGAATGGGGCCATTAGCTTGTTTATATAATTTCTTCCCTATGGCAAAGATTATGCGACCGTCGCCCTAAACTTTGAATGAATTGAGAAAATTATCTCGACAGCATCACATCACTGTAAATCTGTTCGATAATTTTCCTAATAATGACTCTGATAGTCATTTAATTATGGCTTTTAGTACACTTGTATTAAGAGATAGAGGTAGCAATTAAATCAAAAAAATCGGCTAAGGTACTTTTTATCTTAAAGTGAACAAAACTGTTCGTCAAACTTCGCACTTTCCTTCAGCGCCCAGCATCTTATACTGAAACAGTAAGAGCAAGACAGATATATGCCCAACACCTAAGTTAGAAAAGGCTAGGCATACTGAGAAGGTTGTGGAAGGTCGACGGTGGTAACAAATTATTTTATTAGTGTGTGGCCACCTGTTCGATGGACCGGATGCCCCGCCCCCCTCGCCCCGCACTCAACACCCGCCAAGGGACTTAGGCAGTGGTTAGGTTACCGCCGAGCTAAAGTATCGTATTGTTAGGGTTAAACTCTTAAATTGTATCGGAACTCAATACAAAAAGCCTTTTTACTGTAGCAGTTTGCATAATGCAGATGACCTTTAGTTTTCAAGGTTACTTTTTCAGATTACGAAAGCAGAAAATTTATGGCTTCGAATCACCAAAATATCACTGCATCAGTATTTTAATTAGAGTAGATTTAATGTCATGCGAGTTTTAACTGTGTTGAAAATAGAATATGAACAATTTAAAACCTAAAGAACACAGCTTTACTGTTATTGGCTGAAGAAAGGAAAAGTCATAAGTCATAAGGAACAAAGTTATAAGTCCTTTTGTAACGTCGCCTAAAGCGTTGTCTCAGATAGATATCATTTCCAAAAATCCCCAAAGAACATCGGACGGTTCCTGGGGCAGTACAAATGGCTATTCTTTCGTATAATGTGCGAACGTTGATTGTGTGTTTCTGAATACATTAGCGACATGCAACCACTTAGCGATAATCGTGTAACTGTCTTCCAAAACATCCTTATTTCTTGAAACTACAACATTAATAAAACCTCAATACAACGTAGTACTATTGTCAATTTTTTGTCAACCTTATTAGGAATTCTATGGTGCGTCCGAAATGTAATTTTCTTACAACCTGCATTAGCATTCAGGCCGTCACTGAGACTCCGTTAAATAAAGGCAAACTCTTGACGAAGTAAGTCAACAACCCATACATTGTGTCTACGCGTTGTACTTTTTGTTTGTTACACAAAAGGGCTGTATCCGGTGTTTAGGAGATCCAACTGAGGCCGTTTCCGCGAAATCTATCGCAATACATAAGAAACAGGAAGCATATCCGGAACAACGAAAAAAATACATAATATACAAACTTTTTTCACACCTATCCGTGAATAGGGTTGTCGAAGTTGTGTTAGGAATTTGAATAGAAAAGGTTCTTTTATCTTTTCAACTTCAAAAGTCATTTTTACCTATTTCTATAGTTTTTATCCATATAATAAAATATTTTTGCCGTTATACAACTGGTTACATATGTAGCTATAATTATATTTTGTTCGCTCGTTATGTTTAAATTACAGCGATGAAGAATGAATTAGTAATAGGCTTCCACTAGATATAATCTACAAAATAACTATGATTCAACACCTGATTAATAATTTAAAAATATGATAATAAAACTCAAGCATCCACGCCATTCGCATAAAATTATCAGAAACATCTTAGTTAATTGTTCTTTCGCATTAAGCCGTAGTTAACAAAAAGCAAAGGAAATTAAAGCCATCCATCGGATGTCGACCGTTTCCAATTAAACATAGTAATTTATAAGAGGCAATAATAGCTTAATTACAGCTGTGAGCAGTAGCCCTGCAAGTCCTCGCAGAAAAAATGTTCCCACAGCTAACAGGTTGCCGAATGGCACGTCTTCCGGTCGGAAGTACGACCGATGGTCCTTTTGGAGGCAAAAAAAATAAAAGGACCAGAGCACATGTTCATATTGTGATTCCTTTACGGAACGTTATGATTAACATCGATTTGGCCTCGTTTGTAATATCTTTCATTATGTTCGTGGGGCAGGTGTCCTGAAACACCTTCCGTTTTTCCCACGCCGAGTTCTTTTGTGGCGATGATTGATTCCTTTAGAATTTTCGTAATGTTCGACGTGTCGAATTGTACGAACGTATCGATTGATTTAGTATGCGACGCAAGTTGAATGGTAAACAATGCACGCGAATTTTGATGGGTTCCGTGCATACCGAACATTGGGACATTGTACGCGCGTAATAATGATTGGATCATGTAATCATGTTTGTGTGTTATTGTGTGCAGTTATCCTTACTTCTGCTTTGCGAATTACTTTGTTTAGGGAGATATTTATTGATAGACACAAGTATTTTGATAAAGCTTTGCTGTATCTTTGTTACTGAACTATTTATATTTGCTGATTCATTTAATACCTACTTAACCGGTTCTATTGTGTGCTATTCACCCAGTTTCTGGACCCTTTTAGGGATTAAATAATATATTTCTAGATCTAGGAAATTGGTATTCATGACTTTTCTCTTTAATTCCAGGGTTCCGAGGAAGATCTCCCAGATTGTCGACCGCGGCAGGTGTGCAGTAAAGTGGACCTCTACGATGCGACACAGCCCTGGATCGAGAGGAAATGTCGCTGTTTGGGTCATAGGCCGTGCTCTAGGTCAGTATTGTGTACCTCATCTTTTGGAATCTTGAATCTCTCGAGCTTTAGATTTTGGATAAAATATGTGTGTCAACTTAGATTGTACACTGCCTTTGTTAAGTTCCTTTCCTTCATTTTGCTTTTAATTATTAAACGTATAGCTAAATCGTTTATATCTAAATTTAGCTATAATTTTCCTTCTATCGTTTAGAATTGTTGATTTTTTTTTACTAAAGCTCGACCTATACCGTCTATATAGGTTGATCTTTCGGAACAGTAATACTTAGTTTATTTATTTTTCCTATTAATTTGGTAAAGGAAATAAAAGTGAACGGTCATCCTCATACTAATTCTCGTAAAAGGCATATTAAATTCAAATGTGTTGGTTGTTCTTATTCCAACCTTTGACAGTTTCCCTTATAAGACCAAATTATAGTGAATGGACGTGGCTCGAGGCCGTTATTTAAATGTCTAAAGTTTTTGAGAGCATTAGGCAAGTTATATCGTAGTATTTGTATGTATAACGACCGAGACGTACTCTTAAGCTTTTTTGACTTAGTGATGCTATTACTAGAGTTACTTTTTGAGAAATGATCTAAGCCTAGGTAAAAAAATGTAAAGAATTCATCGAATTAATTTAATCTTTATGTTTTTTGTGATAAAGTCTGCATTTATCTTATAGATGAATAACGTTGACTCGCCTACTTTCTAATCTCAGTTTAATATCAAATATACAGGGTGACGACTCTATAAAGGAATTCCAATTCACTCAGAATTAAATCTAGCGTAAAACATAATTATCCCTGAGTCATTGGTGTCCGTAGCTTAAGCTAATGGTACGTCCTAACGGGAACTGTGAAATGTGCAAGTTTTATACATTTTGTATATTATGAGTTGTCTAATTAGTGATTTTTCTCATTACAGTGACCTCACGGCCGATGACAATCACACGTTATCAGATAAAACAACGCTGTATAAGACGTGTGAGCCCGTGAAGCGGTTGCCTAAGTGCAAATACTTCAAGGATGCGGCTTGGATCATCTATTCGTTTCCCGACAGCAATGCGACTCAGCAAATCGTCAATTGTCACTGCCCCAAGTTCTCAGTGACGTATCTATTGAAAAAGCTGCCGTACACGACACCTAGCGGAGAACAGGGGAACCAGTACCAGTTTGCGTGTTCGCCGCAAAGCGTGAGTAGCCTTTCGAATATGCCTTTCGTTTGTAGTTTAAGTTCGTAGCGCTAGATGGAGGCAGTCGTTTCCTTATAGATTTTGTGGGAATATTTCACTTCAGTATTTTATACGCAAGTTAGCTGAAAATAAAATGTTACAAAAATTATTATACATGTGATTTAGAGTTTTATATAAAAAGTTCAATAGCTTCTTCATTATAAAATTAATGTTTTATTTACAACTGTGACTAATTTCTTAATTTTATTAAATTACAGAGGCTACGTTGTTCAAGAAAGGAGCCCTGCAAGTTGTTCAGCGCAAGGCGACGACATGAACAAATCGATGAAGTGAACGCGAACACAATATGCCAGTGTCCACGAGGCCACACATGTCCCAGGCATCATACGGAGACGGGAGTGCTGGCCGGCATCACGTACGCGGCTGAGGACATTCGCACGTATCACGGGTACTGCATGCCCGAACCTCCACCCGACGCGTACAGGTTCGTCGGAGACAAAGATTGAATCAACAACCAACCCTCAAACGTGTGATTTAGCCGGAAATGTACTTAAAACTGTACATTGAACGCTCCACAGCTTCCAAGAGCACACAACGAAGTTTGCTTTGCTCATTACCTGTTTAGTACAAAAGTGTTAAGCATGTTTGGTTTTTAAAAAGAATGACTAATTTGTTAAATAATTTAAACGACAGTGATGTCTATTTAGGTTTCGGATACCGATACCAAGCTTGTTCGTACGCTAGTCCATGTGACACGATCAAATAAACGAACAAATATTAAGCTTTTAATTATAATGTACAATATTACAATGGTCTCTTGCAGGATAATTCGCTAAATTCAATTGTAACTGAAGATATTTTAAATCTTAACTGTTTACTAAAAAGGTCTAGAACCGAATGAATAATTAGATTTAGCGAATTGTCATGGAAGTGGCCGTTGGTGATACAGATGCTGTAAATATTTTATTTAAGTACTTTGTATTACGCACTGTTTCTGTTATAATCGTGTAAATAATATTAGATTAAGTCGAATCATTCCAAACGTTTAGTTTAAATTATTATTTTTCATATTTTAATTATTTACTTGCCATACTTACGTAGTTTGTTGCGTTTGTTCCGAGTCTTCCATTCCAGTCAAGAAGACAACGTTATGTTCATTGTTTTGTTTATGTTAACAAATTGTATAATAATAATAATTTTTGTTATACGAAAACGAGTTATTTGATAGCCATATCTTAAGGTTGTAAGTTTTAAATAACATGTTTAAATAACTATTAGAATCGACTGATACCAGTTGCGTTGCGAATGCGAATGCACATCACTAATAATTAAAAAAGTGACGTTTAATATTTTTGGCTGAATCTGTGTATAGTTTTAATAAAGCATCTATGGGTAAATAAATACCAATGAAAAAATGTTCTAATAATATTGGCGACAGTTTTCTCTAACTAGAGTTCTTGTATAGGAAAGTTCTAGAAGTTTTAATAACGCTGTATCTATGTAAATATGATTGAATGTTGGTGTTTGTATATGATACCTGCGATGTGGTATGTCTTCCTTTATTTGTTTTATTATGTATAGGTATACAATAAGTTAAATTATTGAAAGAGAATGAATAAATGTTTCGATATCAATTTTATCATCGTTTTATTATCACTAATCAAAATTCGTGACGTGATTAATGCTCAAACCTTCTCCGTGTGAGAAGAGGCTTTGCTCAGCAGTGGGCATTTAAAGGCTGTTGATGTAATCAAAATTCAAGTACATTCTGATGAGTTCAGATGCCATCATCCACGGTACCTCGTATTTTCTTGGACCGTATCGTAACAATTAAATATTGCTGTAGTTTCATAACCTTTAAGTGTAGGAGAGCCATGCTTTGGCTCAATTGGGCCGGCTCGACCGGAGTGATTCCACGGCCTCACAAAAAACCGACGTGTAACAAAGCTTGCGTTGTGTTTCGTCGTGTGAGTGAGGTTATCAGAGGCCCAATTACCTCCCCTACCCAATCTCCTTAGGTAATCCGCAGCAAATATAAAAAATCCAATTCCCAAAATCTTAACGCACTTGTAATACCTCTGGTGTTTCAGCTGTCCATGGGCGACCCGGTTGCTTATCATTAGATGATTCATCCGCTCTTTTACTGGCTTATCTCATAAAAAACCTCTTCATCATCAGCATATTTCTGTTCACTGAACATTGCTCTGTGCATTTAACTACTGCCACTTTGTCACTGGCTAGGTAATAGAAGTAGCCGTAGGGTACCGTATACTACGTTTGCCTCGATGTAATTTCTATTCCAAAACACTTTTACCTCAACGGATAAGTTCTGCTAGAAATATTATTGACACTATACTTAAGGTTTTAGTCCTTCACAACTTGAATTTTCAAAACCAAGACTTTAGCTTTATTGGCATACGAAAATGTTTTGTTTGACAACAAAGTAAGTACAATTAGACTACACAACTATTAAGAAGTAAACAAAACTAAACTTAAAAATAATTACCTCTAAGTGCACTTATCTTCCTTTATAATTTTCCCGTTGTTGTACAATGTAAATGTCTGAGATGAGAGTAAGTCCGTGGATGCGGCATTGCATTAGTTTCTAATACCATACTGCGGTTACTAATCAACTTGCTAAGCGTAAGTAATCATTACGGCAGCATCTTTCAACAGGCTACCGGAAAGGTATGCTGATGAGATTGTGGAACTGGATTGAGTATTGCTATGAAGAAAAATAATACGTAGAGAATTACTGTTCTTAATTTACTGAAGAAAACAATCGAATAAACTTGAAAATGGCTCAAAAGAGTCCGTTTATCCATTCCGTTAATGAAAAAGTAATGTTATGTCTATTTTGAATATACCTCCTTTGTAAGTAAGTAAGTAAGTAAGAAAATTAGGAGTAGGTATGCTGGTTTATCTCTATCATAAGTAATTTTGAAATTTAACCAGCGAACAGAGAAATATTTATTTAATATTTACTCCTTTTGAAGAAAACATGGAGTGAATTTCACAAATAACTACAAGGAACTTTTACTGACGTATCTCCATAACAATAGCTAATAATGCAATATACATTGCAATATCACGTACAGCATATAACACCAGCAGACGGCACTTCAAAGGAAATAAATCACAATCGATCGTAGTAGATATCAAGTCGTGCGCAATGAAGGTGCGATAAAACATTCTGAAGAGCAAAACATGTGCTGAAATACACAATCATTACTAATAACTTTTTTCTACGAAGATTGTTCCGATATAAGATCATTGACATGCAACATGCAACGGAAAGACTGCAACAACTGCAATATTTTCATTATTACCTAGGTATCAATTTGCGAACAATTACGTTCGCGCCGGCTGCGTGTACGACGATGCCGATGCGTAAGGGTGCGCTATTGGTTGGTTTTCTGTACTTGAAGTAATTTTGTTATAGATTGTAACATAATGCTTTTTTTCGTTCACATCAGTTGACTGTTGTTTCGTTCACTTCACATTGTTGAGATCTCATAAATTGCATATTCGTATTGACGCCTTAATAAGTCTTCAAACACATCACACTATAGGTAATTCTTCTTATTCGGTCTTTCACCTTTAAAAAATATACGATACTGGCCATCTCTTTAACCGTCAGTAATAAAACAAATTCCGTAGATTGTGAAATGCGCCAGTGCCGCATGGACAACGCAGAGCAATAAGTTAATGATCTGTGACATTATCGCGTGATACCAGATTTATGAGTTTACTTTATAAGCCTATAAATAAACACATTAAGAACATATCCATAACTATCTAACTAATCTATACTTTAATTTTATTTAATTTTTTAAGGCGGGAAAATCATCGAATGACTTCTCCCGCCTAGGTGAGGCGGGAGGGAGTGTCAGCCTCTTACTGACTAAAAACCACCCTGTTCCTACTCCTGCACGTCGAGCCGGAGCCCCGGTAACCCGTTAGGTTCTCCGTGACTCCGAATCGGCATCAGCCCTATTGCGGTCCATCCGTGGAGGTCTGATGGCTCTTTGAGGCGCGCGCGAAACACGACGCGCTGTACGTTCGGGTAACCAATCTATACTAATATTATAAATACGAAAGTTTGAATAGATGTTGGTAACTTAAACAATTAGAACATCTTCGACGAGTTCCTCGTCAAATTGCTACGTGAGTAAGCCGAAAACATAATAATTTATTTAGTATGTCTCACGAAAGTTACAATACAAATTAGAACATCACCACTAGGCGAGATAATGACCAGACGCCCAACCCATTTTGTTATGGATACAATTGGGGCATAATATGACTCCCGTGCCCACGTAACCACGTGTAAGACGAGACACCGGAGTGGGTTTTATTCAGTAATAGTATGACAGTCCCTTTAGTCCTCCCCAGGCTAGGGAACTCCACGAGGATTTCCCTCGTTTGAGTCAAAAAAAGACGCCAAAGAAGCCAATAAGTATAACTTTTTTTGATGAGGGTGGAAACCTTAGCTTTTTGGGGAAAAATACTAGGGAGTATGGGATTCGTACCTAACTAAAACCACCCCGGTGGCCACTCACAGCACCTGTAGGGGGCAGCGGGTCCTCTGAAGAGACCTGCTCCGGAGAATAAGTTATACCTAATTACATTTTTGATTACATATAACCTACAGATATTCTATATAGAAGATAACTTTGTTTACACTTGAAAAATCTATTTTTAAAACAATATCATAATATTTCCTAGACTAAACGGTATTTTATTTTACTTTTTTCTCAACAGAACGTTAGCTTGTTATCATTTCGCAATCAGAAACGTGACTGTGACAGATTAGTTACAATTTCACAAAAACGGCACTTCACACTCATATTTTCTTTGAATTACGTATTAATCGTCACAGAATCGACACACATTGCGCTAATAAAGATCCAATCATACTTTTTACGCCGTCAAAGTATCTGGTCACGATTTAGTTTATCTTAAGCGAATAAATAGCTAGAGAAATTGTGTACGTGTTGGGTAAATTTACTTGGTTATCTACCAAGTATAGAGATGCTATTCAATTGCTATACTTAAATCAGTTGCAGTTTCTGATAATGTGTCTTAATCTTAAGTCGTTAAAGGTTTAATTAAGTCGCTTTTGGTTATGACGTCAATTTCTTAAATGTACTTGTAAACGGATATAATTCAATCTTATAACCGAACTGAATGACAGAAATATAAAGTCCAGAGGTTATGATTTCTGAATGTCAGTAGGTACCGTAAAAACTTGACTGGGTCACCAGAATGAACTGTAACACTGAGTCGTGTCAAACTGTTTTTCCTGTTTGAATTATATTAAAGAAACGGTCGGATATAGCCTAAAAATAGCAAATTTAAAGGCTGCGAAGTACTGTTAACCGACTAGGCTTGTAAAGACGAGATAGTTCAGCGAGTAGGCCTGCACCATAGACTGTAACTAATCAAAGATTACGATATAATAACGTAACAAATGGCTCGGGAAAAAGCTCGCCTCATTCCACTA